CAGCTTTTAAATCGACGCCTAAAGACGTTTGCAGACACTCAAGCGCCAGCTGCAACATGTAAAAAGCGTCATTTACAGTGCTAAAAGTTATTTTTGAGAAAAGTGAATTGTGAGACACATTCAGGGGTTTTTTTCCAGTAAAACAGCAAGATGCTACTGGATTCCAAGACCACTGAAAACTTTTACCGCCAGTGCAAGTCTTCTAGCAGCGATTGCTGTTAAGAAGAAGTTATCCTAACAGCTGGGCTAGAGGATAAACAGATGCGACTTATCTAGCACATTTTCCCAAAAATATACAGAAAAAAAGCAAGGAAGCGCCATAATGTCATTACGCTAGGCGTTCGATAATACAGCGTCGTACATGGGCAAACACGGCAAGGCTATCGGCTACATCAGAGAGCAAAAGTAAACTACAAAAAACAAATACAGCTAAAAGAAACATCAAAAACTTGTAGGAAAAACGCTCTTACGACTACTCAGAATACCTCGGCCCGTGCGTGTTTACCACGCATGCTCAAGGGTTGGGTTTGAGTTAAATGAAACTTAGGTGGACGGGGTATATCCTCTTAAAGTTATAGTTCTTTAGCTTCTCAGATCCCCGAGTTACGAACTTACCCGAAAAAAGTTTTTGAGATTTGCTTGGCAAGGCGTGTGCGTGCATTTCATTAAAGCATATGCTCACGGATGCTTTGCCCTACAGACGCATATCACACAGTGATGGGATTTTCGCCGTATTTCAAGTTATAAAAAAAACTGGAAAAAAGCAAATAAAATTGCGAAACTTGTTTTAAAGTCAACGATGATTTCTTTTCGGAACCTATCACAAAAGCAGCAAACCTGTACTGCAACATCGTAAGTGAAATCGTTTTTCTTCTTCAGTTTCTTTTCCAAAAAACTGTTCGCCGGTTGCTGTTTCACTCCAACGCTAACACCACGCATCCCACGATAATATCCGGCTGGATCCACTCGATAAATCTGCGGTCCTTCTTCCTCATCGTACGAGATCAACAGCATCACTGGCAAGGAGGTAATGTTTACTTTTGAAAAA